GGACGCGAGCAAGGGACGCGAGCAAGGGACGCGAACAAGGGACGCGAACAAGGGACGCGAGCAAGGGACGCGAACAAGAGACACATGCGTCTGTTAAATCATAAAGTCATGTGATCACAACAAGACACTCACAAAAACAGACAAACAATGCAAACTGTAACGTCTGATGAGCGGGTGAGTGGGTGAGTGAGTGAGTGGATGAGTGGGTGAGTGGGTAGGTGAGTGGATGAGTGGGTGAGTGGATGAGTGGGTGAGTGGATGAGTGGGTGAGTGGGTAGGTGAGTGGATGAGTGGGTGAGTGGGTAGGTGAGTGGATGAGTGGGTGAGTGGATGAGTGGGTGAGTGGGTAGGTGAGTGGATGAGTGGGTGGGTGAGTGGGTGAGGCTGATGTGAATGAACACACTGTCTGACTGCACAACATGTGTTGATGGAGATACTGAAGAGAAGAAATGAAGAACACAATACGCAGCTTACGGAGCATTGTGTGTATGAAGGCATTGTTCTCCTCAGCTCTCTGCTGACGGGAACAATCTGCACTCACTGTTTACTTCACATGTAAAACTGTCTTCATCAGAATCAAGACTGTTTTAGCTGCAAACAGGTCCTAGAAGGATTTTGGTTAGAAATGGCACAAAATAAAGCTCAGTCTGTTTCCGGTCTAAACTGAGTGTCTGTTGGTCAGACACACAAGCAACTAAAGATTCGGGACTTTTGGTGAGCATTGTTCACTAATGTCTGAGAAACACTGACTGTGTGGCTCAGATAGTCTGCAGGGTTACAGATGAGAAACAAGACAACGTGCTCATCTAATGGTAAATATGACAAAGTAAGGCTGAACCCAACAGTTCATTCAAAACGTCAACAATCAAAGTATGATTATTAATAACTTACAGGAACTGCACACCTCGTCCCTGTAATGGTCTCACTCCTCAGACCAGAAGTCAAAACGTATTGAAAGAATGGAATCATTTCCAGAATCTACATCATGGTTTTATCCAACAAAATATTCTGCTTTATTCCATCTCTGTTGGCGTGGAGCCTCTCAGCACTCTCACTGCGTCATGAAGCTGTAACCTATTAACTGGCTGGTCGAGCAGCAATCTAACAGCACCATCAACTACAGTTATACGACCGCAATAACGTAAAATCATATTGTCCCAATATGATTTTACATCCTGACAATGAACGCTTCATTCGAAAACCAAAACTTCAATAAAACATTTTTAAAGACATTCGGTGCAGCCGTGTGACGGAGCCTCCTGTGTGAAAACAAAGCGGGAATGACAGAGAAGTGCGGCCCTGATAGAGAGTCAGCATTACAGAGGCCTTCACTCTGCACTGTGGTTGACTGGTTCCCCGGCTGCAGCAGGTGAAGGCTTAACGTTTCCGTTCTTTATGGAAATCCTCACTCTTCACGTCCTTTTGAATAATAAGAAATGAATCCAGACACAGGAGACTTGTGGCGCATGCTTCATGCCACCGCCGCGTTATAACTGCTTCCTGAAGGCGCATCGTGTTCCCTGCGTGTTCTCTGCTGCTCCGGAGGTGTCAGGATTTGCCGGCACATCCGACTCGAATGACAGCGTGAAAGCCCGTCCCCGGGTTCCTGCTGCTCGCTGAGACAGTCAAAGACAGTGGCCGTGTTTGGAGGGATTATGAGGTTTAAAGAGGGTTTCCATCTTGCCGAGGTAGAGTAACACAACGGGAGCTCTCAAAAGGAAATTTAGTGCATATATTGAGGAAGTGGAAGTGCTCACCGTCTGCTTTGTTTACTGAATCTATCTTTACAAATGTTTTAGTCTTCTGGAAAGTGTTGGTTAGTCTGCAATTACAACTGACCACAGTGTGTGCACAGAGAGCAGCCTGTCGCATGGTTCCAGTAGATCTCATCATTTACATGTTAGAGGAACGATCAGCAGAGGACTCTAGGATCGTCCACGCGTCCTCCTCTGCATGTTTCCATCTTCTTCATGGTCCCAGCAGTTACTCTGAGCAACAGAACAATGTGGAGCGTCCTGCCAAACTGCAGCAACAAACACACACATGGTTCATCAGCTGTTTGGCTACCAGCTGACAGGTGATGTCCATCATATCCATAATGTTTTTAACTGCTGGTTTAAATAATATCACATGTATGTTTGATGAAGAAGGACTCGTTCTTATAGGCAGATCGATCCGCAGCTGAAAATAGATCATTTCAAGAAAAGTCAAGAAGTTTGTCTTAGTTTGTCGTAACAGAAGTATAAGACTGTGAAAACACGTAATTAGAAAGATTCTAAGCGTCTCTGTGTTTAGTACCAGGATGTTCATATTATCGGCTCTCACTGCTGCTTTCTCTTCCCGGCTGATGAAAAGAGTCGCTGGATTAAATGCGTCGGGTTAGATAACGTTACATTTGAGCGCAGAACATAGCTAAGTTAGCTAAGTTAGCCAGCTAGCGACCATGTTGGTGTTGGTGACGCACATTGAGCGAGACGAGAGACGAAGTTTACTGAGCGGTTTCAAACGAAACACTTTAACGGGATCAAAAATATATTGTTCTCTCGCTGGTGACTGTCGGACAGATTTCTACCAAAATAAGGTCCCACGGTGGAAACCAGAGGGGAGGGACTTCACCTCTCTTTATGGGATTTGTTGACGATATGAAAGATATAAAGGAATAACATCAGCCTCGTCCTTTAAGAAATGTTTGTATGGTTACATGTGCAAACACACTACCGCTGGCATAAGTTGTCCCTTTAATTAACGGAGGCATTAAAGACTGAAGTACGATCCAGAGACTGAGAGGAGATCCAACCTGTTGAAGTGCCGGCGGAAGCTCTCGCTGAGCAGGTAGAGGGCGAAGGGGTTGACGCAGGACGAGGAGAAGCTGAGGACTCGGGCCAGCAAGGTGATGATGAGGTGAGCCAGGGACAGATCCATCTGCTGGTAGTGGAAGGAGCGGTACATGTAGAGCACGTGGTTGGGGAACCAGCACAGGGCGAAGAGGCCCACGAACACCAACACGATCTTGGCCAGACGTTTCCTCGTGTCCATCTGGAGGAGCGGAGATAAAAAGAGACAATGAGAAATAATCAGCTTGAATGGAAGATAGAAGATGGATTCAGGGAGGTGTACTCAAATATACAACAGCTTTGTGTGGTTGATGCGACACCATTCATGTTCATAATCTCCTGCAGATACAATCAGCTAAATACAACCTTCGTCGCTTCATAATGTCCTCCCACAGCTGCTTCCTTTTTAATTAGAAGAAGACGACAGCTACATCTACTGACAGCAGTTTACAAGCACCGTGTGTTTGGGAAGTAAAGACGCACACCGTTAGAAGTCACATCTGCTTGACCTACGTGTTGTTGGAGTAAAACTGGACGTCATGAAACATCACAACTTCTTTTGTCATTTTAATTGGCTGCCAAAAACTCCCAGAACTCCGTATCAGACAGTCGGCAGCAGCAGAAGGTGACGTTTGACTAAACAGTTCAGTAAAGGCAGCAAACACACCGACACCAACAGTTTACAAGACATTCATGAGAGAACTAGAAGAGAGAACTCTGCAGTCGGAGAGCACAGACGATGGTCGGCATCTGACTTCAGGTGAGTTCATGAACTGAACATGTGAGATGGAAACAACAGGAGAGCTGCTAACACGCTGTCTTGTATTTTATTGCTTCAACAACACATTAGCCGGTTTTATATAGTTTAGTTTGCAGTCGGAAAATACATTTTCCGGATTAGTGCAGAACTAAATGAATGCGAACCCAAATGTCCTACATTGCATTGTTAAAGACAGTGAGAGATACCGTAGTGCGTGTGTCAAACAGATGAGCCGAGCTGAAAACAGTAACCGACTGTTAGCAGATGAGTTCTCTTGTTGGAATGCGATCTTGTTGTAAGTTGGGTTCAG